CCGACTTATCCCCAATTGCGCACGTGTGTGATATGATGGGTAGGAGATTGCTCAATTTGCAACGTCCTCCTCAGACTCTAGAAGCACATTGAGAGGAGTTGGTGGTTGCCTGGAATGAGATACCACAGGAGGACATTGACCACCTGATCAGAAGCATGCCTAGGCGCGTTGGAGAATGCGTAGGACATCAGGGTGCATCCACACATTATTAAAGGTCAAAGGGCTTTAAAGCAGTGCAATCATTTTGAAATTTTTATCATTTACTTATTATGCTTCATTAAGTACTTATACAAAATTTTATTGAAATAAAACCATTTAAACTGGGTGTTCGGATTTATATGTCACTTAGTATACATTCCGTTACTCTGTCTGCCGCAGATATGCTTTGGAACGAAGCGACGGAGTATTGATGTTTATTCATTTACGAAAAAGCTTTAGAATAAATTTGTAACCCTGCAGAGAAACTGAAAAATCAAGAAATTCTTACATTACACTGTATTTACATTTTGAAATGTGTAACTTACGATAAGAAGTTTAATAACCTGTTCCAAATATTAATGCCTATTTTAATTATAATACAAGAAGTCAAAATTTAAAGATAGTCAATACACATACCACGACACATTTCAAAAAACCATCCCACTATAACTGCATCAAATTATAAAATAACTTACCAGCTGAAATACAGCAAATCCGTAATTATTTTCGATTTAAAAAACAAGTTAAAAAATTATTAGCATCAAATGCGTTCTATCGCATAAGTGAGTATATGGATTGTACCTACCTTGAGTATGTAAAAAAGGAATTGAACATTTATATGAATTGTTATATTTAGATTGATTTTAACTTATATTTTCATACATTTTATTTATATTATATAATGGGTGATTTTTTTGCTAGTATCTTTTTGGCAACACTGTTTTTGACAGATGACGCATGAATCGTGTCTTGTGTCATTGTCAAACTTGTTCAGTTTGGTCTATAATTTAACCATGAATCGACTTACGAACGAACAACGCTTGCAAATTATTGAATTTTACTATCAAAATTCATGCTCGGTTAAGAGAGTGCATCGAGCACTGCTTCCAATTTATGGGCAATTTGGTCGGCCTACTGAGGGAGCTATTCGGAAGCTTGTGACTAAATTTCGAACCCAGGTTACATTATTGGACATTAAACCACCAACACGCAGACGTAGAGTGAGGACTGAAGAAAATATTGCGGCTGTATCCGCCATGTTTATCGAAAAATTGTGTTCAGCGACGAAGCTCATTTCTGGTTGACTGGGTACGTTAACAAGCAAAATTGCCGCATCTGGAGTGAAGACCAACCAGAAGCATTGCAAGAGCTACCAATTGATCCGAAAAAATCACTGTTTGGTGTGGATTATGGGCCGGTGGCATCATCGGGCCGTACTTCTTCAAAGACGACAATGGCCGGAACGTAACTGTGAATGGCGAGCGCTATCGTGCGCTGATAACAAACTTTTTTTTGCCCAAAATAGAAGAGATGGACCTGGCTGACATGTGGTTTCAACATGCCACACCGCACACGAAAGAATGGCCCTATTGAGAGGCGAGTTCGGTGAACAGTTTATCTCACGCTTGGGGCCCGTCAATTGGCCGCCTAGATCGTGTGATTTAACGCCGTTGGACTATTTCTTGTGGGGCTATGTTAAGGCTAATGTCTACAGGGATAAACCAGCAACGATTGACGCACTGGAAGCTAATATTGAAGCATTTATTCGTGAGATACCGGCCGATATGTTGGAGAGAGTGTGCCAAAATTGGACCTTGCGCATGGGCCATCTAAAGCGGAGCCGCGGCCAGCAGTTACATGAAATAATCTCTAAACATTAAATTATACCGACCGTTCTATCGACTCAAATAAAGATTTAATCGTGTTTTCAAATTTTTTGTGTTTTTTTTAAATCAAATCCTATACCTCTTAAAAAATCACCCGTTATAAGCTAATTAATTTTTTCCACCACATGTCCTATTCTGTATCCAACTGGTTAATCAATAATAATAAAGATAAAGTATTTACAATAAACGGACAAATACTTACATTTGTTTGACATATTTAAGTAGAAGAAAGTATGGAAACCAGACTAGAACAGCCGTAACATTTCTTTCAAATGATGCTATGTTGGTATTAAAGAATTTGCCCCCATTTTAAGACCATATGAATATTTGGCAAAGCAGTTTTCTTAGTAGGCATAACGCTCCACAAGGCAGGAAAACGGCCTTTTAAATTGGGCCATTTTTTGCCACTCGATGTGTGACATTATCGTTCAAACACAGTTCATATCGCCAGAAAGCAGGTCCAACAGATTTATGGGGATACCCGCGTAAAAAAATTAATCAAACCCGAGTCCCTTGTCGTGAAACTTTGGCGGACGCACCAATACGTCCGGAGACCCTATTCTTAAAAATAAAATTCATAACCAGTCCCTCGAAAACCACCATATATCAATGGACCCTACTTTGTTTCACAACTACTCGTATAGAAGTTGTTCGTCGTCTTTCTGAGAACTTTCGGAATCGCTCGGACAAAAACTCCGATAAGGCGAGCAATATTTATCACACAAGGGCGGCCCAGAGAAATTTCATTTGGGAAGGTTCGGGAATTTCGTGATATGAAAGGGAAACTGAAATTGTGTCGTGAACATTGTATTTGACGCGCGAGGCGTGAAGACCAATTTGTGCCGATTTGAAATCGTATACTTTGAGACAGTGGTATTGGGAGAATAGCTGTTACAGGGTGTCCCAAAGTGTGCAATATTTTACCAGCGGTATCTAGAGCTTAAAATAGAAAAGTTTATATAAACATAGGTCGACAAACAATTTTAGACAGCTTTGTTTGGAAGCGTATGTAACAGGGACGGACTCAGATTATTTTAGCCCCAAAACTTTTGTGTAATTCTATTTTTGAAAATCAATTTTAGCATTTGAAAATCTAGGGTTTTCTACATAAAAAGGTACTCTTATTGAATATCGACAAATTGTGCCATTTTTGAATAAAATCAAACTATAGAATTTGTTACATGATAGGAAATGTACTGCGAATTTAAATGAATTGTTGATTATACATAGTTAGCCATGACTGCTAACAAAAGTTGTTTTGATTTGTTATGACTTATTTTGACGTTAAGCTGACAGTGTAAAATTACTAGATAAAATCAAAATTTTTATTAAATCGATTTAAAATGCCAAGATTTACAGACAGAGAACAGACTGACATGTATTTTGTATACGGGTTTTGTAATGGCAGTTCATTGGCAGCCGTAAGAGAATATCAAAGAAGATTTCCCAATCGCATAGTACCTGGACGTCGAATGTTTACTGATATTCACCAGAATTTGTCAAACCGTGGAAGTTTTCAGCGCATGCAGGGCTCAGGAAGGCCACTGGGAAATCATCATATGGATATTGCTTTAAATATGTTTGAAAATAATCCGCAAATAAGCATACGAATTGTTTCAGAAATTATGGATATATCTCGTTCAATAGTAAGAAAAATTTATGAATACCTATTTGATAGTTATCGTAAAAATGATAATATTAGATAGGAAGAGTGACAAGAATGAAAGGATTACATCCTTATCATTTTAAACGGGTGCAGCATTTAACGGAGGCAGATTTTTTACCACGAATCGAGTTTTGCCAGTGGATATTGGCAAATGAAAACACTATTCTTAGAATATTATGGTCGGATGAGTCAATATTTACTAGGAATGATGCTTTTAATTTCCACAACATGCATCGCTGGTCAGATAAAAATCCAATAGTTGTTCGCCAACATAGATTTTCATTGAACTTATGGGCAGGAGTGATTGGGGATCAAATAATTGGGCCTATTGTACTTTCCAATCGTCTTAATTCAGAGGTGTATCTGAACTTTCTTCAGAATGAGCTCATTGGATGTGCACCAGCAGTTTCAAGAAAATATGTTTTTTGTTTTTGCCTAAATGTTAGCTATGTTGCAATAGAAGTATGTATTTATCTAATATTTACAAATTATTAAATTAATTTTTTCTTTGCCATGGCAAATTATTAAACAATTCATTTAAATTCGCAGTACATTTCCTATCATGTGACAAATTCTTTAGTTTGATTTTATTCAAAAATGGCACAATTTATCGATATTCAATAAGAGTACCTTTTTTATGTAGAAAATCCTAAATTTTCAAACTCTAAAATTGAATTTCAAAAATATAATCACACAAAAATTGTGGTGCTAAAATAACCTGAGTCCGTCCCTGTTACATACGCTTTCAAACAAAACTGTCTAGAATTGTTAATATTTTTAAATCCAGCATAAAAAACTAGAATACCAAATTTTATGTCTTTATCTCAACACGTTTCGGAAATATTAAGGAAAAACCATATAATATATTTATATAAACTTTTCTTCCTATTTTAGGCTCTAGAAACCGCTGGTAGAATATTGCGCACTTTTTTCGGGACACCCTGTATAGAGAAGCACATTTGGCTTAGACTAATTATTTTTACAAATTTGGTTTTGTGTTTAAAAAGACCCTACATAGATAATGCATGGAATTTGAAACACATTTGAGTGTCGAGAAACTGTGAGATATGAGGGTCTTTATGTTGAAAAGTTCACTACTCTGTCTGTAAATATGACTGACTCCATCGCATAGGGGGAATTTCATTTGAAAAAATGTATGTTTATAGTTGTAGTTTTGAACCGTCTTGTGAGTAGCTTTCCACTTTGGATAGTACATAGTTGCCATGTTTTCGTTCGTTGTTCGAGAGACACAAGCCTAGACCATGCTGAGGAGTATCCAAAAAGCACGAAACAACTGCCTATGCTTGGCTGATTTCGGTCGGAGGTATCATATATTCGTATGTAATACATCTTCTGGTGCTCCGGCCATCTCGATAGTCTGACTGAAAGTAATGGGCAGTTAGCGGTACTTTCTTCAGAAGTAGAAGAAGTAAAAAAAACAACTATATCAGATTATTTTAATTATGAAGCAAAGGAAGAGTTTCTGATATTGATTTGTTGGAGGTTACTTCCTGCAAACTGGATCGTTACGACCGGTGGTTGACGAATAAGGTAAACCATCAATGTAGTCGCATAGTTCGAAAGGACATGTAATATCGCATGACCCAGCAGTCGATATATGGTCTGCAACAAGTTGTTGTCTGAATAAGGCCTTGGTTACACCATGGAACCATCTTGTTGCAACTACATGTTCTGAGGGTTGAATTGCACGTGTCTAATAGTGCGTTATCGCGAGGTCAATTATGTGGACCAATGTCAGGAGATACATTCCTCAGATGCTTTCCAGTGATACGCTAGCGAACTGTTCCAGTAACAATGCATGAGGATACAACGTGTAGTTGAACGGTATTGGTTCTGAGCACTACTGAGTTTCTCAAAGCAACTCAACTCTTGTCAAACGCTGACTTTTGTATAACAAACAATTGGTACGTTTTAACTTTTGCATATAGAAACATAGTAGGCCGCGCGGATCGAACGTCAGTACTGAATCTTAACCTCACTCTTTAGTAAACTTAAATTCAAAGTTTTACAACAATGCGTGCAGTGTTCTCACTACAGTGAATTTTTAAGTGTCACCAAGTCATTAGAAAAATGGAACTCAACCGAGAACATTTTCGCGCCATAATTTATTACAACTTTCAGAGCCAATTATCGCAACAAGAATGCCTTGCTGAGTTACTGTCTGTTTTCAGTAACGCAGCGCCACATCAGTCGACAATTTCCCGTTGGTATGGAGAATTCAAACGCGACGATTCCAGTGTGGGTGCACCAGTCACCCAGGAAAACGTCGATCCTGTGCGCAAACTCATCATTGAAGATAGACATGTGACATATCGCGAGATTGAGGCGTCCTTGAAGATCTCAAAGAACTCAATTCAAAAAATTTTACATGAATAATTAGGAGTAAGAAAATAAGTTTCTCGTTGACTGAAGAGCAGAAAGCAGCCAGGTTTAATTGGTGTCAAAAAACGCTTGACCGTATCAATTCCGGAAACTCAAAAAATGTGTACAGCATTATTAGTGGTGATCAATCGTGGATTTAGAGTTATGAACCAAAAAATAAACGACAGTCGGCTGTTTGGAAGTCCCAAGGTGAAGAAAAACCAACAAAAGTCATCCGTTGTTTCGAAAAAGATGGTCGCCACATTTGTGTCAAAAGCGGGTCATATTGCAACAATTCCTCTTAATGAGCAAAGAACTGTTACTGCGGATTGTATACTACCATTTGTTTGCCAAAAGTCATTACCCAGCTTCGAAAAATCAACCACGAAAGAAGAATCATCCTCCAACAAGACAATGCAAGCTCGCACACATCCCAAAAAACATGGCAGTATTTAACAAAAGAAAACGTGGAATTATTGGACCATCCTCCATATAGCCCTAACGATTTCTTTACCTTCCCGAAAATTAAAAACAGACTGCGTGGTCAAAGGTTCCAGTCACCAGAAGAAGCAGTTGCCGCATTCAAAAATGCCGTCTTGGATCTGCCAGCAAACGAGTTTAATAAGTGCTTCGAAAATTGGTTCGAGCGCATGCAGATGTGTATTAATCTTCGTGGAGAATACTTCGAAAAACAATAAAGTCATTTAAAACTACATACCGTGTTGTTTTATTTCCATATGCAAAACTCGAAAGACATCCAGGCAAAATTTTTCAATAATAAAGAGAAGATATAAATGCTATCACCGGTGAAGACTGGTTGGTTATCTCACAAATAATCCGTAGAAAATGAAGTACCTCCAAAACAATCACCCGTCACAAATGTTATTATTATTGTTGTCATAATTGTCTATTAGTGTGAGGAATTGTTATGGTTGGTGGTTCATATGAATAAATAATTTGACTGTAGTTTAATTTAGTGATGGTCCTTCCGCAGTTCTAAAGACCTTAAGTTTCTCCATCTCTACCATCGTAGCAAATGGGTCGGCTCTCATGGGTTTTGATCTGTTACACCACTAACTTTTTGATCCTGCTACATGGCATCGTCAGACTTATTTGCTCATCCGAGGTCTATACAGTCATAGCTCAAAGACTGTAAGTTCGGTTGAGTTAATACTACTAATAAATCACACCGTTTTAGCTCAATATTGTAGCAAATTGTTAATTTTGTAAGTCCATTTAGAATGTGTTAACATTGTTATTTGTTTTAAAACTTTAATTCCAAGATTTAGGATTGCTTACATAGCTACTGACATAAATAACGGTATGTTGGTGGCTTTGCGAGGCATCGGTCACAATGGAGACATTTTTCCACTGCGTACTAATGGCAAGAACAAACAAGCCGTGACCTGGAAGAAGGATAAGAAAGATGCATCTTTAGACAGCAGGTAAACGTCGCCTAACATGCGTCCTTTTTCTATTTTCTGCCGTCTATTCACGATCATATAAGACAACCACATATCTCAGTCTGAGCTTTTTCCGAGTTTAATATTTAAAACTGTCACGTTGATCCAAATACCGCTTATGTGATGCACTTCCTTGTGACGTCATAATCCTCGAAATGTCATTTGGTTGTCTTTTTGGTTCAGTTTCTAAAGGCCATATTTTGATACTGCTGATTTCAATTAAGAAAAAACAGAAGCTTAAATGAGGAGCGGAAACGTTGTATTTTACCGATATACTAAAATACGGTACAGAAAGCACATCAAGCATATCCATATTTCGTAGTCGTCGTGATGCTAAGATGAAAGTAGTACAAAGTTATCAAAAGGGAATGTATCTCCAAAAATTAATTCATATTATTGTGAAGATCGCTTTATATATTTTTTTTCTACTAGCCATTTAAACAAGGTAATTGTATAATATTAGACCGAATATTCTTTTTAGTTTTGGGTTATACCTTGGTTGATTTATTTCCATTATATTATGTAGGTTAACAATCAGCGACAGTGAGAACAAAGGATATCGTTCACCTTACTAAAGATCTTGATTTTTAATTTTTCTTATTCAATGATTTTATTTATTGTCACTGTTGTGATTTAATAAGAACTCAATGACTAGAAAGTAATCTTCCAGGGCTCAGTATTTTTGTTAATTGTCGGTTTATGGCCAGATCTACCAGGATTCTTCAATATACAACATGTCCAGTGGTAAAGTTCACACATGTATTTGTTTGACGAAGATCGCAGTTTTAACAGTTATGTTCAGAATTAGAATTACTATAGGATTGGCTTATAGAGGGTGGCGCATCGAAAACGAAACAGACGCATTTACTGGCAGCTCAGTTTTTTTTTTAGAAAAACGGTCAGACCCGTCGATTTTGTTTTCGAGGGGGACTCAAGTTTGGCAAAAAATCACGTTAACACGTGCAGCCCCCTGGGCGGGGGTGATACCAACCCTGAAATCTTAAATGGAAAGGGGGATCGAGTGATACCTTATTTTAAAGGTCTTTCAATTCCCTTTATAATGTTGTACAGTACATGAGCTTCAGTTCAGTTGTTTTGAAGATTTATTGACTTGAAGCTTAAATAAAACTAATACATCATCATTAGTGGAGATCAATACATGTGGCAGGAGAGTAATTTAAAAATGAAGAATGAACTGACTCGTTAGGCAAGTAAATGTTGAAAATGGCCACCATGACTCTCCACGCAATAATAAAAATTTTGCTCACATTTTGCAATATTTGAGGAGTAATTTGAAGGCACTGTTTCACAATTTTTTGTCGCAGGTCTTCTAATGATGTTGGCTGAGTAGCATAGATTTTGCTTTTTAAATGACCCCACATAAAGATGATAAATCTGGCGATCTTTGGGGCCATTCAATGGCACCGCTTCTACCAATCCATCGATCTGGAAACGTCTGATCTAAATATTGTCGAACACGTAATGCGTAATGTGGTGGGGCACCATCCTGTTGGAACATCAACCTATTTGCAATGTACCGCCGATCATTCTGATTTTCAATTATGGCTGTTAATGCAGGATCTATGCCGTCTTCCAGTAATTCCAAATACGTTTCACCGGTCAAATTTCCAGGTAAGAAAAAAGGACCAACTAAATGATCGCCAAAAATGCCAGTCCAAGCATTTAATTTTTATGGCTGCTGTGTATGAACCTCATGATAAATTCTGGGATTACAATCGGACCAATATCTGCAGTTATGACGACTACGCCATTTAAGAAAAAAGAACATTCATCGGAAAAGCAAGTGTTGAATAGAAAATGTTCATTGTTTATAACTCGTTCACTCATATCTTCACAAAATTGTAATCGCCGATCAAAATCGTCTTCATTAAGTTCTTGAACCAGGTGAAGTTTATACGGATGAAAACTATGGAACTTTAGAATCCGTTGGACAGTACGTCGACTAACACCACACACAGTCTCCAATTTGCGGGTACTTAACGTAGAATCTACATAAACTTGCCCTAAAACCCCCTCCTCAATTGCTTCGTTCCTTATGGGATTTTCAATGTTGCATTTTCTATTGGTGACTGACCCAGTTTCCCGAAATTTAGCTACACGTTCTAGAACATATTTTCGATGCACTTTACTGTTCTCATTTCTCATTAAATATTTCTGCTGTTCTATTAGCGCACTGATTATTTCCGAAAAATATTTAGATGATTTCAACTCTTTCTGTTGTGGAATATACCATGGTTAATTTATGTAATAAAGCGTTACAACTTATTTTAGCAACAAAGTTTGGTCAAATCAACCGCGAACTATGTACTAAATTCCTATTTAAAATAAGTACGAGATATTTCCTTATCTTTCTTCGAGAAATAACTTTTTTGCCACAAAAAACGCTCCAATAGCTATTTTCAACAACAAAATGCTATTACTTATTAAGTAAATTCCTTTAGTCAAATTTCTTCTGAAAGTGGTACAAACTAACTGTTGTACCTATTAAAGTCTACTTTAAGCTTTAAATCGATAAACCTTCAAAACTACTGAACTGAGGCTCATGTACTTATAAAGGGAATTGAAAGACCTTTAAAATAAGGTATCACTCGACCCCCCTTTCCATTTAAGATTTTAGGGTTGGTGTCACCCCCGCCCAGGGGGCTGCACGTGTTACCGTGATTTTTTGCCAAACTTGTGTCCCCC